GGCAAGGACAACTCTTTGGAGGAGAGAGAGTTTAGCTGGAAAGAGAATACTAGGGTTGTTTTGGTTCTGAAAACACTAAGGGGGAGGCTGGAGTTAACACTGAAACTCAGATGCTAGTATAGTTGCCTAGCATGTGCAAAGCTCAAACATCTACAGTGTTAGAGACAGGGAATTTGAAGTTCAAGGTCATCCTTGCCTAGTAAATTTGAAGTCATTATAGGGTACCAAGCAAACCCTGGTTGAAACAACAAAGTGTGGGGGGAGGGTGTGTGTGTGTGTGTGTCACACACCTTTAATCCCAGCACTTGGGAGGCAGAGATAGGCGGATCTCAGTGAGTTCGAGGCCAGACTGGTCTACAAATTGAGTTCCAAGACAGCCAGGACTGTTACATTAGAGAAACCATGTCTTAAAACCCTACCCCTGCAAAAAACAAAAACAAAACTGGGGGTGGGGTGCACGCCATTAATACCTAAAGGCAGAAGCAGGTGGATCTCTGTGAGTTCGAGGCCAGACTGGTCTACGGCATGTGTTCCAGTACAGCTAGGGCAGCACAGAGTAATCTTGTCTCAAAAAACCAAAAACAAACAAACAAGCAAAACAAACAACAAAAACTCACTAAGGAGGTAAAGGTGAAGAGGGCCTGGGGAAAAGTGTGGGGAAGAGGGATGTCTATGATCAGGGACCTGGGTGCATGGACAGGAATTGGCCTTGGCCAAGGAACTGGACTCACCCTCTTTGTGGTCATAGGAAAATGGGTTTGCAGCCCCATTTATAGGTGCAGTGGAAAGAATTCATGGGTAAACAAGACCTTCTTTGTGGCGATAGGAGGACTGTAATAAAGACGAAGTCATGAGAATCTGCAGTTCTAAAGGGGTTCCTAGGCTAACTTGTGTGCACTGAGGATCAGGCTGGGGCTGGACAGGTCTGTAAAGGCCCAGACTAGGGTTACCAGATAAAGCAAATAGAAGTACAGAATGCCCAGTTGCATTTGAACTTCTTGTAAGAAAGTAATCCTGTTAGTACAACGTTTGAGATATGTTTATACTTTAAAAAAAATATCTGAAAGTTTTGTTGGAAATTCTATCTTGGTAGGTAGGGTAGGGGATTGTGTATGTGTGCAGGGGTAGGGGACAACGACAGTGCAATCCTTCCTGAGAACCAAGCCTGAAAAACAGGGAGCCGTATCAAGGCTGTGATGTTCAGTTATTACAGGTCTGGGGTCGCGGCTGATGCCCCTCCGCGCTCGACCGCTTCTGCAGTTCCTGGTCTGAGAACTTTCAAATATCTCTGGCAACTCCCCCACTCATGGTCTCGCCCTGAGCAGCTATCGATAACTCTACGCTCGGCCCGGCTTCTATCGACTCGCTCCTACTCGCCTCGCCGTCCTGGACAAGGCAGAGTGCTGAGCGTGTGTAAGGTACGGAGTCCGCGGGACGAGGGCTGAGTACTAGTCGCTGGGTGGCTAGGACGGTGCGGTCGCGGTAATCAGGCCGGCAGGACAGAGCCAGAGCAATCTGCAGAGCACAGGGGAGCTCGGGGGTCCTGCCGCACAGCTCCCCCACCCATCAGAGCCCAATGCCGGTCAGCTACGCATGCGCAGCAGCCGCGGTGCCCGGCTTCCCCAGTCGCCCTGCGCATGCGTTGCCTACTCTTGCGGCAGACGGCGTCCCTGTGATTGCCCTCTGTGTGTGACTGCCTCCTGCTGGCTGCAGGCGGGTTGGCGTCTCCTTCCGTGCTGATGAAGCGAAGGTACTGGCGCCGAGAAGCGGAGGAACTGAGTCGCCTATCTTGTGACGGCCAGCGTGACTCTAAAGATTCATTTTTCTTATCTTTAAAGTGATAATACTTAGTGTAGTGTGCAGATTGTTTTTTCATACATGTATCTTTCCCTCTAGATGTTTTGACCTTTGGACTTTGCCTATCATCTAGCGCCTGGCCCCGTGCAGGCCTCATTTTCCCCAGCCATCAAACAATGAACACCACCCCAGGCACAGTGGGCAGTGACCCTGTCATCTTGGCAACTGCAGGCTATGACCACACTGTGCGCTTCTGGCAGGCACACAGTGGCATTTGCACTCGAACAGTGCAGCATCAGGACTCTGTATCCTTCACTTGGGAGCAGGCAGGGTGGTGGTGGCCAGGATTAGGTATGAATGCCAAGTGCCTGGGGAAACTCAGGCCAAGTGGTGGAGGTCTTGCTAGCCTGTGGCCCCAAGGCCTCCCTTTCCAGGGTTCCCTTCCCATCATCCTTAACATGCTCAGCAGGTGAATGCATTGGAGATCACACCAGACCGAAGCATGATCGCTGCTGCAGGTACCTGAGATTCTTGACCTCAGCCCTTCCTTGACTGGTGGCAGGACTACCTGCAGCCATGCTTCAATTTAGCCTGTGTCCCCAGGTTACCAACATATCCGCATGTATGATCTCAACTCCAATAACCCCAACCCCATCATCAGTTACGATGGAGTCAATAAGAACATCGCATCTGTGGGCTTTCATGAGGATGGCCGCTGGATGTACACAGGCGGGGAGGACTGCACAGCTCGCATCTGGGACCTCAGGTGTTGAGTGCTGGACTGGAGAGGGTGGCTGTTTGGGGAGAGGGCAGCCAGGGGGTTGTCTTTGGGCAGGTACCCCACGGACAAACTAACCAAAGGGGCGTTTGAGGGGAGAAGGAAAGCAGGATGGACCTCCATCAAAGCCAACCCTGCTTCAGGCTAGCGGCCAGACATCCATTTCCCTTTCTGCTGGCCTCACACTGCCATCTCTGGGGAAGACCCAAACTCCACAAACTTCCAAGGCAGAAGCAGCTCTTATTAGCAGAGAATGGGGATTTTGGCGGGACACCAGTAGTATGCATTAGACACCATGTATAACCGTAACTCCCCACAGGTCCCGCAACCTGCAGTGTCAGCGTATCTTCCAGGTGAATGCGCCCATTAATTGCGTGTGTCTGCACCCCAACCAGGTGAGGAGCACTCATGGGGCCAGGTACCTGGGGGCTTTGGAGGGCAGAGATACTGCTGCATCTTACCCCCACTACATCCCAGGCAGAACTCATTGTGGGTGACCAGAGCGGTGCTATCCACATCTGGGACCTGAAGACAGACCACAATGAGCAGCTGATCCCTGAGCCTGAGGTTTCCATCACGTCTGCCCACATTGACCCTGATGCCAGCTACATGGCAGCAGTCAATAGTGCTGTGAGTACCGGGATTGGGTACAGGGCCATCTCAGCACCTAGCCCCTCATCTTCCGCAGATGACTTGATTCCTTGGTCATCCCTCAGGCCTCTCTAAGTTTTCTACCCAGCTCTCAAAGTCAGGCACCTGCTGTCTGCCATAGCCCACCCATCAAACTAGGCACCTCAGCCAATATTTCCCTTTCCTTTACGTTCCAGTCTATGATCTTCCCTGATACTGACAAACTTCTCTGTGGCCTTCCTGGGATGCCTGATCTGTTCTCCTTCAACTGTAGAAGTATCCTTTAGCCTTACTGACAGGCTGCACTGTTCTGAGACCTTAAGATGCCCTGGTTCCTTCTCATAGACTGCAGGATGCTCCAGTTTGGTCCTTGCTTCCATCTCTAGTGTCATTTTCTCCTTTTAAATCCTAGAACGTCACTTCTTCCACATGCTTGCGTTTCCTCCTCTCAGCCTTGGGTTGTTACCTCTTCTGTCTGGGTGCCCTCCTCACTGTCTCCCTCCTGCACATCTCTGCTGGCCAGCAGCAGCCTCTAAGGAGCTGTGTTCAAGTCCTCGGCCAATGTGGACTCTTGCTTTTGACTGGCTGGGTATGGTTCCTTGTTGGGACCAAGCTTCCTGTAGATATGACCCAAGATGCCAGCCTTCCTACCCTGGCCCAGGTGTCCACGGATCCAAGTCCAGTTCTGAGGGGTCTGGGTTTTGAATGACTGCCCTTCTGTCCTATAGGGAAACTGCTATGTCTGGAACCTGACCGGGGGCATTGGTGACGAGGTGACTCAGCTCATTCCCAAGACCAAGATCCCAGCCCACACACGCTATGCCCTGCAGTGCCGCTTCAGCCCTGACTCCACGTGCGTGTTAGGGTTTGGGGGAAGAGGGCATTTGCAGGGGCTGGGGACACTATCTGGTGTGTGGTCAGTGGATACAGGGATACCCAATGTCCAACCCCAGGCTCCTTGCCACCTGTTCAGCTGACCAGACATGTAAAATTTGGAGGACATCCAACTTCTCCCTGATGACAGAGCTCAGCATCAAGAGTGGTAACCCTGGAGAGTCATCCCGTGGCTGGATGTGGGGGTGTGCCTTCTCAGGGGACTCCCAGTATATAGTCACAGGTGAGCCCTGCCCTCTGTCTCCCCCACATTGCCTTGGCCTCTGGAGAGGCCACTCAAAGTTGCCGCTCTCTTCTGCCTGCACCCCCTTTGCAGCCTCCTCTGACAACCTGGCCCGGCTCTGGTGTGTTGAGACTGGAGAGATCAAGAGAGAGTATGGTGGCCATCAGAAAGCTGTCGTCTGCTTGGCCTTCAATGACAGCGTGCTGGGTTAGCCTCTACTCCTTGAGGCTGCACTGGGAAGTCAGGACTGCCTGGTATAGTGGCTCTACGTGGATGAGACTCTCAGGTCAGCCTCTGCATGTCAGGCCAACTGGAGCTGACCAGACTACCCTGGCCTTGCCTGGCCAGCCTAGACTTGCTGGCCACTCTGCCCTGGGACTCTCTCCATGCCCAGTCTGTTGTCAGAAGGTTCACCAAGCCAGGCTGCGTGTGCCTGGACAGGGAGTCTTTGCTCCCTTTAGGAGGCTAGACCCACAGGGATTGGAACTGTTAAGATTTGAGGTTGGTGCTTGTTTCCCAGGTATGTCACCCCACTTGCTCCTCTCTACCCCTGTACAGGTCCTGAGGCCCCCAGAAATTACCACTATGGCCAGGTAATCTGGGTTTATTTGTCCCTACTGTCAGCTTCCGTTCACTGGTGGTGGTGACCAAACCAGCTGGCTGACCTGTGGGGACAGGAGCGGCCTGTGGGGACCAAAAGCCGGGAGGGCTCTGTAAGGGGCTTAGTCTGGAAGGTAATAAAAGCAGACAGACACACAGATGTTGCTCGGGAAGCAGATGTCAATGCAGAGGTAGATCAGCCGCTGTCTCTGGGGCCCTGGGGAGAAGGGAACTCATGAGTCCCAAGGGCTCCGACCCAGTACTGTCCTGAAGGAGCCATAGGCCTGTTCACTCAACCCTTCCCCAACTCACCCTCTGCTCGTCGGGCCCAGTAGATGGGAGTGTCCACGCAAAGGTGTTGCACCGAAGCTCCCACTTGGGCAGGGTCCACAGTTTGGCCCCCCAAAACTGCCAGCAGCTCCTGCGCATAGTGGGTCTCTTGGCCAGGTACATGGGACTCCTGGGCCTGCAGAAAGACTCTGGTGGGCCATTGTATAATACTTTCTTGATCCTGGCTGGGTAGGGCATTCATGTTCCACCCCAGCCTGATGGCCCTTCCACCTGCTCTTGTCAACAGCCTTAGGGGAAGATAGAGCTTTCTGTTCCCCTGAAACCAGAGCCTTGACTGGCCCAGCCAGGCTGCACAGAGGACCTTTTGTTTGTCCCCTGGCCTTGGGGAGGGGATTTGGAGGGGGTGGCAAGCCAAGTAGTACTGCTCACCCTGGAAGTGTTTACCAGCAGCCTTAGGGTCTCCCGATCTTGGGCTTCCATCAGCCGGAGGAAGCAGGCCTGGTGCTCTGCAGGGCGGTAACAGATGTAGCCCTGGGGAGGCAGACAGGTAAGTCAAGGCCACCCCATACCTCCACTCTACTCCCTCCCAAGCTTACTCACACTTTGCCCGTCAAACAGCACAGCCCAGCTGTGGTTGCTCTGAAGCGGAGTCACCACTATAGTTGCCATGTTCTGGGCCACGTCCACTAGAGTGGTTTGGTTGGGCCAGGGTACCCTGGAGCTTGAGGTCTTTCGGAGCATCTGCAACAAAGGCTAAGGGGTATTTGGAATTCAGCCCTAACATCTGTATTGCCACATTACCTGAGTTGGCCTTTGTTCCTGCTGCTCCTCTGGCTATCTGCTCAAGGCCAGTGTTTAGGCCTGGCCTTATGGGAGATTCTAGTCTTCCTGCTCCCTTCCCACTCTGTATACCCCTGGGTTTGAGGAATGGCTCACCTTGGGAGGGTTGTACGTGAAGCCAAGAAGCCCTCCTGCCATGGCTCCTGCAGTGACCAGTGTCAGCAACAGCAGCAGGCCCGCTGTTCTCCAACCCCTGTGGCAGGGTTTGGTCTTCACCTGGGGGCATATTACTGTCAAAGCGGCTTCCGGGTTAGAGACCAGGGAGCGACTTGCTCAGGGAAGGGGCTGATGGTAGGTGGTGACACCTCTGTCTCCTAGTCTCCTATGGTGTCCCTGTGTCCTTGTCGGGGGTGGGGTGGGGGGGTGGCAGAGACACTCACCTCAACAGGCCTGGACCTGAGGCTCTCAGTGTGGATGTGCCCTTGCTCCATGCTGCAGCCCCTGCTGACAATGCACTGATTGTCTACAGCCCCTTGGAGGAGTCAGCCAGGGAAACCTCAGGATGCCTTTGATGAGTCAAACTGTACCCTCCCCTCCCAATCCCACTGCTTCCTTCCCAGCCAGTATCTGATATCCTGGGTCAGAGCCAGGACAGCCCTCTCCCCCACTGCTGGTCATCAGGCATGTCTCTGGACACCTGGCCTGTGCAGATCATGGTTCGGAGAGCAAGTGAAAGCAGGGCCTTGGTAGGAAGTTAGAACAGGCTAGATCTTGGCCAGGATGATTTTGTCTGTTTTGGCAGTTAATTTTCTTGGAATCCGTTACCTCTGGACTCCTAAGCTAGACATAGACCATCAATAAATGTTCAATGGACCATCAGTATGAGGCTAATTGCTTCCTTTCTTTACCTGTAAACTCCCAAGCCTCTTTCTAGACCCCATTAATACCAGATAGGGTTGTGGATATTCCCATGTGCACACAGTGGGCTCCAGGCTGCACTGGACAAACAGCTTGCTGTATATCAAGGATGGCTAAGCCAGCCTGTTCCCTAGCATGTTTTCTAACCAAGCTGATTGCTCTGGTCCCTGGTCTGTCTAGCTACATGGTAGCTCAGCTGCACACATATCCACATATTTTACCCAGTAGCTGTATTCTATTCTGGTTTTACGCTACACACTTCCTATTTCTTCAGAACCTGTTTGTTCCTCAGAAGGGTGGGGCTGCAGTGGTCATGTCCACTGTGTAAGATTTTGGAACTGGGATCCTGGCCTGCCTTATGTCTCCTGCCTTGCCCCCATCCATAGCTAGACAGGTGTTACTCAAAGTATATAGAGGAAGGCAAACCTTATCAGTGTGGGTTTGAGAGTTTAATGTGCATTTGAGTTCACAGTGAAATAAGGTGGAAATGTAACACACATAGGTTCTCGGGCTAGTGCCCAGTAGAAGAGGGGCATCCCTTGCTGCTGCACCTACCAGTGCTCCTGTGTAGGTGATAAAGCCACAACAGAACAGTTATTACCCTACCCAGACTCACGGAGCCACCCTCACAGAGGATCAGCACCAATGTTAAAGGCACTGCTGCTTTCATGTTGAATTATGGCATTATTCCACTCCCAGCAACCCCTGACCTGGGAACAGCTTCAGGCATGGGATACATTTTATTGCTTCGAGAACTTGGTGAACAGGTGAAGTGCCATGATCATGAGTAGCCACAGGGCAAGGAGCCAGGAAGGAAGGAGTCAGCCAAAAGGAACAGCTTCCTGGGTTTGCCCCACAAACGCTGCCCAGTCTGCTCAGCAGACTGCTAAAGGTCAGAGACTTGCAGAGCCGAGCAAAAGGCCAGAGATGCTGAGAAGCCAACTGGTTGGTAGGGTGGGCCTTCTGGCTGGCCATCAACAAAGAAATCCAGGATGGAAATAGATGGCTTCGTGGAGCACCAACATATAACCCAGCCACAACCCAAAGGACAGAGGCCAGGGAGGTTGTGAGACAACTGTTCTCAGGACTCCTCTTTCCTTCCATACTCAGAGGGCACTCTGGGGATACTCAGAGGGCACTCGGGGAAACAAGGCAATCCTTGGGCTGCACATTGGCTATGCTGCTGATGGTGGCTTAAGGTTTTTTCAGTGGGATTTACCTGAGACAGCACAGCTATTAATCCATACACTAAAGATGCAATTCCACACCTGACATTGTTGTTGAGTAGTTTAAAAAAATTTTTTTTTAAAAAAAATAAACACTGTTCTAAGGTCCCTGTACAGCAGTATGGAGTTAAATGCAGGCACCCATACCCGCTCAGCAGAGCACACTCAGTGAGACATTTGGGTTTAAATTCACACAAGAGAGCCCAAGTTTAGCTAGGCTGTTACTGTGCATGAGACTGCAATCCTGGGCATCAGAACAGACAATTGTGACATCAAAGTGGTTTTCAAGGAAGCCAAGATGAGTGGAAGCTGTCAAGGGCAGCATCCTAAACCCCAACAACAGCAATCCCTCCTGGGAGCAGCTTCCTCCACTCCCACCCTGCAGGGGAGGAACTGGGAACACAGAAGCAGGCTCCTCTGTAGTATGGTCACAATGGAGGACAACACCCTAGTTTCTGGTCTACACAAGTGTCTCATAAGAGCCCTTCCTTTCCTCTCTGCCCATCTGAGGGTCTGATCCCTGAATACATTTTTCAGCAAAATGCATGACGCACACCCCTTGACCTCCTTCAGACTCCTCAACAGGGCGTAAGCTTACCCGAATCCTGGGCAGATGCTCCGCCCACCCCACAGCCTTCTAAGTTTAAAAGTGCATCTTAAAATACAACCATCTGTAAACAACACCCCCAACTTTGCCTACAAGGTTAACGTCTTCCTCGGCTCAGTTCTAATTAACCTGCAGCCACCTAACTGAGCCATTTCTAAGCCCCACCTATTAACTTAGGTAACTGATTTAAAATTTTTTATTCCAGAGATTAAAGATCTTTAACCTTGAAGGGCAGGCAGGAGGTCGGCTATGCTGTCAACATAAAAGTCAGGGACCATTTTCTTCTTGTTCATGCAGTCACTTTCCTGATTATTCTTCACATCTTCAAGCGTGGAGACTCCGGTGAGGGTCAGGATAGTCTTCAGGCTACAGGTGGCGCCCAGGAGGATGTCTGTGTCCAGGCGGTCTCCCACCATGACGGTGCGCTCTGGGTTGATCCCATACTCCCGGGACACGCAGTCGAAGATGAAGCGGCTAGGCTTCCCGATGATGTCTGCCTGGCGCTGGGCGGCCATCTCCACGGCTCGCACCAGACAGCCGGTACCTGCAGGGCGAGGGAGGGAAGGGGACGCTGGGGGTCAGAGGACGCGGAAGGGCTGGACCCGCCCTCCAACCTCCAGCCCTCAGGCGCACGGACCCGCAATGAAACGGCCGTTCTCCAGTGGGAGCCGGTTGTCCATGTTGGTGCCCACGAGCAGACAGTCGGGCTGCTGCAGGTACCGCACGGCCTTGGTGAGTTTCATGTAGCTGAAGTGTGGGTCGAAGCCCACCACTACCGCGCGCACGTCGGGATCGAGCGGCACGGCCAGCCAGTCGCTCGGGCTTTCGCCCTGCAACGCCTCCGGGCCCACACCCACGCTGGCGACACCTACGGCCTCCAGCTCGGCCGCTAAGGCCGGGCTGCCCAGCACGTAGGCCTTGGGGTCCGGCACGCCGGCCAGGCGCTGGCGCAGATAGAGCGCGCTGCAGTAGGCCGTGCCGAAGACCTCGAGGCCCGCGTCGGGCCCCGCCGGGCCGCCGAAACCCAAACGCCTTAGCTTCTCGGCGTAGGCCGTGCGAGTCTTGCTGCTGTTATTGGTGATGAAGCCCAGTCGCTTGCCGCGGGCCCGCAGCGCCCGCAGGGTCTCCGGCGCGCCCGGCACGGCCGTCTCGCCGCGCCACAGCACGCCATCGCAGTCGAACAGCAGCGTGTCCACGTCGGCCAGCAGTACCCTGGCCCGCTCGGCGTTCAGCCGCACGCAGCGGGCCTCGTCGCCGCCGGCCTCCGCCTCGGCCATGGCCGACCGCTGGCCACCGCCGCCGCCACCCGCCGCCACTGCCGCCACTACCGGCCGCTCCTCACAGCCGCCCGCCGCAGCGCCGGCTCCGCCTCTGCGACGCTCATTGGCCCCGCTCCTCGCGCGCACCGCCCATTGGCCTCCGCTCGCGCCAATCCCTCGCTCTTTCCCGCGTGCCGCAAGGCGCACAGCCGCTACCGTCGCGGGCCAGGCGCGCGGAGGCGGGCAGCCATTGGCTGGCTGGTCCGGATACGCCGATGATTGGCTAGCAGAGCGCCAACCGGCAAGGGGAAAGCGTACGCTACGGAAACGCTGCGGGCCGTGAATGGCACGGGACGTAAGGCGGCTGATCATGGATGGACGAGGAGTAGCTCGCTCATTGGAAACTGGTGGTCAGCCTAGGTGACGGAGACTCCAGGTCAGGGACCCCGGGCCAGGCCGGCCGCTGATTGGCTACCTCTTCTGGCGGTCTTGGCTGGGCGGAGCTACCCGCAGGAGCTCGGCAGGAGGGGCCACCGGCGTTGCAGTCACTTAAGCGTCTTAGAGGTGAAGTCGGAGCTCGCACCGCGTCTCTTTCTTTGAAGCCATGCCCAGGCTGTGACCTTAACTACAAAAGGTTCTGTACTACCTGTTCCAGGGATGGAAATCGTGTCTTTGATTCAAAAAGTTGTTGATAACCATCTTGCAACCCTACTTTTGTTTTAAAAGGTTATCTGACCACTTATGACTTACCTTTTTCTGACTACCTTGTTATGCCCACCTTGCAACCACGTCTTTGTTTCAGGAGATCGTTAGGATTTTATGTTCTGCTCCTACAATCTGTCCTATTTGGCCTGCCAAATTCCCTATTTGGAATCCCCCTACTCCTGAGTTTTCTAAAAAACCTTGTTTTCCTCACATCCAATGTTGACCTCTCAACTCCGCCTTAGGGGGAGGCAGTACATGTACACGAATTTAAAAAAATACTTGGTTTAATTCATTGTTTGCTTTAATTAATTCTGCCATGATGCTTTGGGTTGGTGGTCTTTCTCTTCCCGCCGCTGGGATTAACAGAGTACAATCTTTAATCGAGATTCCTCTAGGCCACAGGTGATTTTAAAAAGATTAGAGCAAGCAAATTAGAGTGAATGCACAATCGCAGCCAGAAACGTGGTTAGGAAGAGATATCCGTTATTGACTGGATAGTAATATAAGAGCACTTTTGTGAAATGTTGGAATTGTGCTATGTCTGATACTTGATACATGCCCATATTATATAAAAATTGCATTGATCTGTACTTAAGCCATAAGTGCATCATTGTATACTATGCCTCAATAAAAGTATTAGTAGTTGATGAGGACCATGACAGCTACCAATTGTGAAATGCCATACTGTGGACAATGTCCCCTGGATCCCAACCCCACTGTTTTGCCATTACCGGTTCATGTCACTTGGAAACTGGGAAACTGTTTTTGAAGAACTGAAGGAGAGAATGCAAGTACCCTTGCGGAAGTTCAGGTTTAATCATAAACAGAAACGAACCTAGTATATCTTTTCTATAAGATGGCTTTTAAGCCTAAGATGGAGGCGGACTGGCTTTTCACCCCTCCTAAAGACCACCCTGAGTTTAGTTCCCAAGCACTCAAATTGGGCAGTTCATAAGTGCCTATCACTCCAGCTCCAAGGGACAGTGACTTTCTTTTCTTTCTTCTTTTCTTTTCCCCTTTGGTTTTTTTTATTTTTTTAAATATTTATTTATTTATTATGTATACAATATTCTGTGTACAGGTAAGCCTGCAGACCAGAACAGGGCACCACACCTCATTACAGATGGTTGTGAGTCACCATGTGGTTGCTGGGAATTGAACTCAGGACCTTTTGAAGAGCAGGCAATGCTCTTAACCGCTGAGCCATCTCTCCAGCCCCGCCCCCCTTTGGTTTTTCAAGACAGGGTTTCTCTGTAGGTTTTTGGAGTCTGTCCTGGAACTAGCTCGGTAGCCCAGGCTGGCCTCGAACTCACAAAAATCCACCTGCCTCTGCCTCCTGAGTGCTGGGATTAAAGGTATGCTTCACCACTGCCCAGCAAGGGACAGTGACTTTCTTCCGTCCTCTGTGGACACCTGTGCACACATGCACATACACACACATAATTAATAATATTTTTAAAGATTTATTTTTACTTTATGTATATGAGTATTTTCCTGCATTTATGGTAATCTTGGAAACCAGAAGAAGGAAGGAGTAAACTGAGCTTTCGTGAGCTCTCTTTTGGGTGCTAAGAACTGGATGACCAGCATGGTGGTTTACACCTTTAATCCCAGAATTCAGAGGCAGAGGTAGGTGGATCTCTGTGAGTTTGAGGTCATCCTGGTCTACAAAGCAAGTTTTAGAACAGCCAGGGCTGTTACGCAGAGAAAACCTGTTTCCACAAACATAATAATAATGTATGTGTATGTGAAATCTTTTGAAAACTATCATTGTTTTCTTTTTAAATTAGGTGTGTGTGTGCCCATGTGTGGCATGGCAAGTGAGTCCTTGGGCCGCAGCTTAGGTTGACAAGCTTGGCTGCTGTGCCATCTCACTGGCTCTGTCTTTGTTCATTTGTTCTGAGACAGGATTTTATAAACTGAGGCCAACCTCAATCAATATATACTGAGGGTGACCTTGAATTTCTGTTTTGTGTCTTGCAACTATTGAGATCATAGGTAAGTGCCACCATGCTCAGTTTGTGCATGCCAGGCAAACCTCTGTCAATGAGCTACGTCCCCAGAACCCTTTTGTTTGATTGTCTTTTGTTTTTTCAAAACAAACTTTCTACTCTGTAGCCTGGGCTAGCCTGGGACTTTTGGCACTCCTCCTGCCTCAGCTTCTGAGTGCTGGGATTACAGGCATGAGCTGCCGTGCCTACTCTAGGACCATCTTATAAGTGAGATGTACCCTTGGTTATCATGCTTCCTTAACTCAACATAGTGCCTGTGAAATCTGTCCTCGGTTTATTTTTAATTTTTAGTGAATTATCTCTTGGGCTGTTGTAAAAACATGTGGTTTTATCTGTTTCCTTGCTGATGAGCACTGGGTCATTTCCAGTTTAAGACTCTTTTAATGTCTCTGTGAAGATTCTTGTTTCTATGTATGAATATATGGACATATGTTCCCGTATCTGGGGTGTATCATTTGGAGTGGAATAGCTAGGACATAGGCGAGGTATGTGTTTATCAGCATCACCTTGATGTGCACTGTCAGACTAAAAGCAGTTCCCAGTTTCCCCGAGGGTCTGCCCTGTGTTATGTAGATTCCCAGTTCCCAATGTGTCCACCTCTTGCTTTGCTCTTGAGCCCCAGTTCTCCACAAGGGTTTTTCTGAATCACTTCAATCTTCAAACTCATCAGACAAACCCAATGACCTCAATACTCCTAAGGTCCTATTTATGGAATATCCTATCTCTGCTGGCCTGGAAAACTTCAAGGACAAGGACCACAGCCTTGGAGGGCAGAGACTGCAGGGCTCCTTCCTGGAGTCCATGCTACCTAGGAGAACTCCTTCATCCCTCTGATTTCACATTTAGTCTGGGGAACTGAGCTGGCAGCGAGAAGAGCTGCACTTGACAAAAGATCACAAAGACTGATTCTGTCACTTAGAAGCCCCACGTTGATTTGGTATACAGGCCACAATGGAGAATGCCAATTACGAACAGATGTGACCAGACTTCCGAAACACTGACCCGATTGCCTTGGTTTACCCTTGTCAGTAAGTTCACAGACAACAGCACCACTCCTGCTGGGAGAATCATAGGACAATCCTGAGAAACAGGTACTGTTAACACACCTCTGTGACAGGGAGAAACTGAGCAACAAAGAGCCATCGGCTGACTCCAAACCTGAACACTGTCACCGGGTCTCCTGCTGGTGAGAGGGACAGCTTGCGTGGTGGAAGAGTACAAAGGAGAGAAGAAGACCTTCAGGCTGAGGTCCTGGGGGAGTCTGGAGGGGACCACATGGTGGAGCAGCCATATGGATGGACTGGAGCCCATTTGATGCTTTCCTCGTGCACAGCTGGTTCAGTATATATCCTCTAGTAGATGGTACCAGTGTCATGTCCTCCCAAGTGAGGAACATCCCTGAAATGGCACAGCCAACAATACGGGGTAGATGTGAGAGTTGATCTTCATTGTTGTCTTTGGGGTTTTTTTGGGTTTGTTTGTTATGCTTTTTTTTTTTTTTTGAGACAGGGTTTCTCAGTGTAGCTCTGGCTGTTCAAGAACTCGCTTATAGACCAGGTTGGCCTCGAACTCAGAGATCCGCCTGCCTCTGCCTCCCAAGTGCTGTCTGCCTTCCAAGTGCTGGTATCAAAGGCATACGTCACTACCTGCCTGGCTCTTGTTTTTGTTTGTGTTTTTTTTTTTTGAAACATGGTGTCTCTGGGTACCCTTGGCTGTCCTGAAACTCACTCTATAGACCAGACTGGCCTCGAACTCAGTGATCTGCCTGCCTCTACCTCCTGAGTGCTGGGATTCAAGGTGTGCATTACCTCCACCTGGCTTTATTTAGATGTTTTATAAAATGTCTTACTATGTAGACCAAGATGGGCTTGAACTCATAAGCTTCTGCCTCCTGAGTGCTGAGATTAAAAGTGTGTACCATCACACTTGGGTCCTCATTTTTTTTTTTTTACTCTGTATGTGCGTGTGTGTGTGTGAGAGAGAGAGAATATGATATGTATATGGTATGTAGGAGTGAGTGTAAGTACGTGAATACCACAGTGTGCACATGGAGGCTAGAGGCCAGCTTTTTTTTTTAATATTTATTTATTTATTGAACTTCAGAAGAGGGCACCAGACCTCATTTCAGATGGTTGTGAGCCACCATGTGGTTGCTGGGAATTGAACTCAGGACCTTTGGAAGAGCAGGCAATGCTCTTAACCGCTGAGCCATCTCTCCAGCCCCCTAGAGGCCAGCTTTTAAAAGCTTGTTCACCACCACTGCTGTGAATTCCAGGGAGCAAACTCACTATGTCAGGCTTGGGTGGCAAGTGCTTTTACCTGCTTAGCCATTGTGCTTGCCCATCAGAAGGATTTCTATTGGCTTCCAGGCCAGCATGCAGCTACAGAGTGA